TTGGGAAAGATACTTCGAGATTCAAAGTATCTAAGACTTCAGAGTTTTTATATACTTTTATTTTATTAAATTAAATTCATAGGAAAATTGTGTCGGGCCCCAAAAGTAAAAACTTCATGTGTTGCAGTCCCTTCAACTTTCCCTCATGTGGTTCAACCCCTTAAAATGTGTTATTTTGCGTTGCAGCTAGGGGTGCATTCGGTTCGGATACGGCTCAGATATGATGCTTACCATATCCATATCCGCTTACCCATCTAGGATACAGATACGGATACGAATATACCTCGGTAAGAAAAATTCATAACCATATCTTCTAAATTTGGATATGGTTACGGATATACATGCGGATATATAAGTGGATATGTATACGGATACAAAACAGATATGAGAAAACTAGATAGTATTGAGAAAAATATAGTTCATGTGATACAAAATAGTCCGTTAATATGTTATTGTAACTGAAAAGTTAAGATTAGACATCTTGATCATCAAAATTAACCATAAATCCATAATCTAAGAATCGAAACTATCGTTAGAGTATGACTAATCTGTATTCGGATATTTCGGATACGGATACAGATATTTCACTACAAAACCATATCTGTAACAATATCCTATCGGTTATAGATTTGAGTAACCATATCCATATCCTAACGGATACGATTACGGATATTTCCTCGGATACGAATATGGTTTAGCAACCCTAGCTGCAACACCTTTTTAACAATTATTACATGTCAGCTAAGCTAAAATCACCAAAATGTACTTATCCCCTCTCCTCAATCCCTCAAACCCAGCGCTCTTTCATCTCCTCTCTCTCTCTTTCTCTCCTCTTTTTCTTTCTCCTCTCTCTAAAACAAAGGGCTTTCTCAAGCTCGTGGCTCTGGCCCTTACCCTCCTCGCCGTCACCGCCTCCGCCCAGGCCCCTAAGCCTCCCCTCGAGTTCACCGCCGCCTCTCCTCCTCTCCTTCGCCCGACCTCGTCGCCGCTCCCCGCCTCGCCCTCGACTATGCCGGAGTTCGCCGCTGTCGCTCTCCACCTCGCCCTCGAGTTTTCCGTCAACATTGACGATAGTCCCAGCCCGATTCGACTGCTCGTCAACTCCGAGGACCTGGTCACCACTGTCATCCGTAAAGTTCTCAAGGAGTATGGCCGCCAGCGCCGCATCCCGGTGCTCGACGGCCACCCTGAAGCTCTCGACCTCTGTTGTGCTGCTATTGATAGAACTCTAAGTTTGAGCGCAGCCACCCCGAAGCTAGCAATGAAGGTTTGAAGCTGTCGAGGACGTTCAAGAAGCAGCAGCCCAAGGATCGATTCAGATTGTTGATTAGCAAGCCGTTTAGTTTGATAAGCATTGCTACGCACTGAGATTTTGGAGGTGTTTAGATATTGTTTCTTGTGCATTTTTTGGTGATGATGTGAACATGTATTTACATGTGATTTAATTTTAATAAACAATATTCGATTTTATGTCCCTTTTTGTGATATCTGATTTTGGTGACTCACATTTTCACGTTGAAAATTTTCAATAAATGACCCTACATATTTGTTAGTTGATAGTGTGAAAAATAGAACTAGAACTAACATGCAGTGAGTTAGAACTAACACACGGTGTTAGGACTAACACAAGAGCACAAGAGCCATGAATTAGAACTAGAACTAACACGCAGTGAGTTAGGACTAACACGCGGTGAGTTAGAACTAACACAAGAGCCCAAGAATCATGAATTAGAACTAGAACTAACACGCTGTGAGTTAGAACTAACATGCGTGAGTTAGAAATAACATGCGTGAGTTAGGACTAACACAAGAGCCCAAGAGCCATAAATTTGAATTAGAACTAACACGCGGTGAGTTAGAACTAACACAAAAGTCCAAGAACCATGAATTAGAACTAAAACTAACACGTGGTGAGTTAGAACTAACATGCGGTTAGTTAGGACTAACACGCGGTGAGTTAGAACTAACATAAGAAAGGCTGTTACTTATAAAAGAAATAACAAGCATAAATTTTGTAATTCACTAGAATTTTAGTGGTATCACTTCCAATCTCGCCAGCATTTCAACATGTTTACAACGTCATTAACTTCCTTAGTTTGATTCACAGTTTATCAAAAAAGTTCTATTCTTTTAAAATGCTTGCTGACGGTTGCGCAACAAAAGCTCACAGTTGCGCAACAAAAGCTCAAATGGACAATACTCTTCCAATATGCAAGCGTTGATTTAAGTTGTGAGCAGGACCAAACGCTGCTCAATATCATCCAACTGCTAAGATTCACCGGACTTTGATTATTGTTCACTCTTGTCACCTTTCACTGTGTGTTAGTTCTAACTCACAACGTGTTAGTTCTAGTTCTAATTTATGGCTCTTGGGCTCTTGTGTTAGTCCTAACTCATCGCGTGTTAGTTCTAGTTCTAATTTATAGATTTTTGGGCTCTTGTGTTAGTCCTAACTCATCGCATGTACTCACCACGTATTAGTTTTAGTTCTAATTCATGGATCTTGGGCTCTTGTGTTAGTTCTAACTCACCGCGTGTTAATTCTAGTTCTAATTCATGGTTTTTGGGCTCTTGTGTTAGTTCTAACTTACTGCGTGTTAGTTCTAACTCACTGCATGTTAGTTTTAACTCACTGTGTGTTAGTTCTAGTTCTAATTTATAGCTCTTGGGTTCTTGTGTTAGTTCTAACTCACCGCGTGTTAGTTCTAACTCATTGCGTGTTAGTCTAGTTCTCCACAACCTGAAGTCCAAAAAAAAATTCAGCTCATTTTCTTCTCTTTCAATTTGAATGAAATTATGTTTGTATTGCTCACTTGATCCACATTGGTTTCTTTTATTTGGTAATCATGCACAGCAAACTCAATGCAGTAGTAGACTTTGGAGCTGTCCTGTTTTGGTTTCTTTTATTTGGTAATCATGCACAGCAAACTCAATGCAGTAGTAGACTTTGGAGCTGTCCTGTTTGAGCTGAGTGATGAACTCAAGTATGCACAGCAAACTCAATGCAGTAGTAGACTTTGGAGCTGTCCTGTTTGAGCTGAGTGATGAACTCAAGTTGGGGAGAGAAAGCAATAGAGGAGCTATGAAGAGACTGCTCATTCAAAACTATGAAGCCCTCGACATAGTCTATTTTCTCTAGCATTGATATCAACAGCTCTTGAGGGCGAGGCGAAGAGCAGCAGCGACGAACTCTGGCGTAGTCAAGGGCGAGGCGGGGAGTGGCGGCGAGCTAAGGCGACGAGGTCGGGCGGAAGAGAGGAGAGGAGGGGAGGCGGCAGCGAACTCGAGGGGAGGCTTCGGGGGCTTGGGCGGAGGCAGCGACGGCGAGGAGGGCGAGTGCCAGGGCGACGAGCTTGAGAAAGCCATTGGTTTTAGAGAGAGGTGAGAGAGAGAGAGAGAGAGCCCTTGGTTTTAGAGAGAGGTGAGAGAGAGAGAGAGAGAGAGAGGGAAGAGGGAGAGGGAGAGAGAGAGAGAGAGAGAGAGAGAGAGAGAGAGAGAGAGAGAGATGAGATGAGAGAGCGCTGAGTTTGAGGAATTGAGAAGAGGGGATAAGGACATTTTGAAAATTTTAGCTTAGTTGGTATGTAATAATTGTTAAAAAAGGGCAGCAGCATAAAATATCATATTTTAAGGAGCTGAACCATATGAGGGAAAGTTGAAGAGACTGCAACACATGAAGTTTCTGTTTTTGGGGCCCTGGCACAATTTTCCCTAAATTCTTTTGTAATTGCGTATTTTTATCTTTGGTGATAGAAATATAATTGGTTGGTGTTTTCGGTGTTTTGTCCTCTCCCTCCACAGTCTATATCATGAACAGCATCATACCTTGAAACCAAGTGAATTATGGTCTCTTATTTCGAAATACAAATCGTTTGATGTTTTGTAAAACTTAAACTATATTTGTTTTCTATAAAAAAAAAACTACATTGGATATATTTGTTAATGTTGATATAAAAGAAATTAGAGATATGACGACTAATATAATGGTCTCTTCGCTACTGTTTTAGTAATGGAGATTATCCAAATTCTTAGAGTTGACCTTTGAGTTGACTCTCTTTTCGTTATTATCGTTCATGGAGATTGATGACTAGCTAACATGGTTGCCGAGTTGGATGCACACATGACAGAGCCCCGCCGGCTCCAATGATGAAACCGAGTTACATACATATGTATATGCATTGGGAAACACATATATGTATATGTAGTAGATGATTATAACCATTCCAAATCTAACATTAATCATACCCCTACGATTAGCACTCATTTTCTAATTCACACTTAAAGACAAATCACAATCATTTATAAAATAAATTAATATTGAATGGTTGTGATATAGTAGTGATCTTTTTTGTTAAGAGGGGATTCAAATCACAACTATAGAGCCTTGGCCCTTGGATTGTTAAACTTGGCAAAAAGCGGTGACTTGTCTAGCATCTCGAGAGCTCGATCCATCCTGCTCGATTGTACAATTCCAACTTAAGCACAATGTAAAGAAGAGCTCGTCCTCTTAAAGATGCTTACGTCGGATCACATAATATCTTTAACAACCATGTTAAAAAATATTAATCGATAACTAATCTCTTTAATTGTTAGAGTTATAATCGCCTCAAATCAATTTCGATAAGCAAGTTGTAGGAACCTTCCTTGGCCTCAAATCAATCTTAAAAATGATTATGTCAGATCATAGATAAAGGGATCCACAATCTTATTCTAAAATCCTAGCATATTTTCCTCATTGACGCCTACGTGGCACAATCTTCACCATCCTCATAAAGTAGGAGAGAGAGAGAGAGAGAGAGTGAATTGGTAGAGATTGGTGAAGATTGTGCCACATAGGTGTTAAGGAGGAAAATACCCTTCTTTACATTGGACACTCATTAATCT